TGTCGGCGCATAGCCAGGGATGGATCAGCGTCCGTGAGAAACAGGCCCGAGGTCAGGGGATGGAAATCAGTGGCAGGGAGACTTAAAGCAAAGTGGTTGTTTATTTGTGTAACCGTCGCATTTAGGAGCCCCAGCCACGGAGCAGGACCCCGTGGCGCCAGGTGCTGTACAAATACGCAGCAAGCAAAGACAAGCCCCTTCACCAAAGGGCTGACAATCAAAGTACAGACAAGAGACGGGGCAGCACCAGGAAACAGTGAGACAACAGCCATCACCCTGATAGGCTGGGGTCTCCGCTCACCAGCAGCCTAACCATTGTCCTGCTCTTTGTATAGGCATCCCGGCAAAGGAGACGTGTAGGCCAAGTGGCAGGAAATGTTGTCTGAGTTTTTCACTCTGATTAGCTAATTCGGAATAAAAGAGCAGCCAACACACAAACTCTTCATTCACCCTGCGTTAGCTGCACAGGTTCAACCCCAGACTGCTCTCTAGGCTTGAACTCGCGCTGCTAACCCAAGTTAGACGCCGAGCTGCCTTATCTCCACTGCTATTTGAACCCGGTTTAGCTAACCTCAGTTAAACTCACACTTCTTTTGTAGTGTAGACGTGCCCCAGAGCAGCCAATCTGTGAACTCCCTGCTGCAGGAGAATCCAATACTCCGGATTATACAAAGGGCTAACGCTGGATAATTAACCAACAGAGACACTTGTCGTTTTCTGTGCTAAAAGACTAATTCAATCTTGTTTTAAGGCATCAGTTTATGGCTCTCGGGGTCAGAAAAGAAATCCCAGTAGCCAACCACACCTACAGCTTTGCCCAGCTGTATTATGGGGAGTTTGCAAATTCTTCTACAGCATCATGCAGAGGAAGGACCCCGGGTGTGGGGGACCAGTGGCAGAGCACCACTTGTACGGTGTTCCTGGACTTTGTCCAGGGTAGGGTTACCAGATAGCAAGTGTGAAAAAACGGGACAGAGGGTGGGGGGTAATAGGCACCTATATAAGAAAAAGTCCCCCAAAAGGGGACTGTCCCTTTAAAAATGGGACATCTGGTCACCCTAGTCCAGGGTCACAAACCAGTCAGTGACCACGTTGAGACCATCACTCAGCACCTTACTGTGACTACTGGACCACGCTCCGTCCTATCCCACACTGACCAGTGGAGCTCTGTAGCCCAGTTTCCAACTCCCCTCTTTCTAATGATTAGACGACCTGCCCTTCCCAGCGCTGGGACCAGAAGCCAGGAGTCCTGCTTCCATTCCCCGGCCCTAGCCACTAAGCCAGATTCACCCTCCGGGGGTTTTGCTTTCGCCTGATGCTCTGTTATGTTATAAAAGCCCCCTAGCCTTGCAGAGGCTGTGAGCGTCAGCTACATCCGTAAGCACAGATCTCTCCTTTCGCAGGTGCAGCCAGGGCCACTGAAGCCCACTAGAAATAAAACAGTCACCGATCCTCACCCCCAATCCCTGACTCTGGACTCACCGGTTCCAGCACACAGCACCGAGATCCAAACCCACCACACGCTTCTGTCTTTTGGCACCATTCTCTGAAACTCAACCACATGCAGCTGAATTCGCAAGCGCTTCCTTCTCCACCTTCCTCTTGGGGAATTAAACAATGTGCAAGAAATCCATGTAGCAATCTGGGTGATGAATAAGAAACAAGTGGCGTTCTGGGCTTCTGGTTTAAAGCTGGAGCGGATGGTTTGAGAAAGGTGGCTTTATTCAATGGCAATGTCTCACTGATTGTGTTTATCACAGTAGTGCTGAAGGACCTGCTGAAAGCAAGGGAGGGCAGGTGCTTGGAGCTGTACAAACACAGGGTTGCAGACAGTCCCTGTCCTGAAAATCCTATAATCTAAATAGGCAACACAACAGGGGTGGGGGCTAAAACATTCCAACAGCGATCAGGGTGATGGGGGTACATGTCATGTTGGTCCTCCCATTTTGGGGGAGTGGGGTTTAGTAGTTCCATTAGCTAAATGGAAAGACGTGGGACGGGAGAGGGTGGGGTGAACAGAGCAGGGAGAAGAGGGATGAGGGGAAGGAGGGATGGACGTGGAGCTGCCTGGTAATAATTCATGAATACAGCTGCCCCTTTGTGATCCGAGCGGCTAGTCAGATTTCAGGGCCCCTGGGGCTGTGCCGGTGGGAAGTAGAAAGTGATGGAGTCTGGTATCTTGTCTGATGCTGTCCTGTTTGTTTTGTTACAGGGAAATGCAGGAGGAACCGAGAACGAAAGGGGCAGTTTCTGAGCTCGCAGCCCCAAGTCGCTGTAGCCAACACCAGCCCCAACAGCTGTCCAGCTTTCTCCAGGGTGTGTCTGTGCTCTCGGGCTACGGCTTGGCTTTCTGGCTTCTTGCCTCCGCCTTGCTGCTGTGTGTGATTTACACACACCTGCTCCCCACTCAGGCCAGACTCCTGGGTGGGATCAAAAACCCCTTTCCCCTTGCCGGGGGAGGGAGGCGGTTCTGATTAACTCAGCCTGACAGTTCTGTTAATTGAAGGGTGCGTTCATGCCCAGTCTCAGAGCCCACGACCGTCAAAGCAGTCACCAGGGCCCCTAGCATAACACTGCTGTACACTGGCCTGGCGACTGGGATGTTACTGTATGAATAGATTGGGTTAACTCAACAGCGGGCTGACTGGGGAAACAGGCAGGACGGAAGGAGCGGCTCCAGGTAAGCACCCGCTTGGCCAGCACTTGAGTTGGCAAAGGACAGCACCGGACCTATGGGCTCTCAGGGCTTCGGCTCAGCCTACAGGGTCTGTCTTGAAAGTCCACAGGCCGGGACCACCGAAGAACAAAAGAACTAGAGCAGGATTTAAAAGAGACCCGCTCAAGTGTGTGTATGCAGGGGGCCAAACGGGGGGTGGGTATTTGTTTGAGAGAACCAAATTGGGACATGACCCTGCTGGGCCTGCCTAGGTCGCTAGCAGGGGATGGTGAGACTGTAGGGGAGGAGCTGGCTGGAGACTGTCTTTAAAAGTCCTCTCTCTCTAAAAGCTTTGTTCCTACTGCGAAGATAACTAGCGCTGTTGTCTGCAGAAGGCTGTCTGGTTGCTGTACACCGGTCACAGATTCCCAAAGAGAAGAATTGCCCATGCCGAACGTGGTCACACCTTCAGGATGCCGGGGGGGTGTGGGGGTGGAAGGGGGGATGTAGCCCAGGGCTCGGGGTAGGCTTGGGAGAATTGTGGCATTGCGTGCCAGGAGAAGTAAAGGTAGGAGGGCTGACGCCTGAGAGGATGCACGCAGAGACCATGTTACCCGCACAAAATTCTCCGTTACTCACACTCTAGGGCACCCACCTGTATCCTGTTCCCAGGGCTCAGGGGTCACCTGCAGGTTTGCAGGACCTTTTACCGATGAAAGAACCTTACACAGTAATATCCTTATCCTTATTTATTAACAATCCCACAAACAGACGCACACGCTACACACACCGTGCTCACCGCTCCCAATAAGACAGATGAACTTTTCCCTGCTGGCCAGTCAGGAGCGGGTCTATCTGGGGGACTCCAGTCTCTGCACGGTGTCATTGGCAGAGAGTTGAGGTCTGGCCGCTCTGATCTTTGGGGCTGTGTCCTGGAGTTGGTTCCCAAAGAACTTCCTTTTGGACCCCAGTTTATATAGTGAAATTTGAATCCTGTTTAGCTACAGCTTAACCAATCATTTTATTAAGTTTTACTAACCAATCCTAACACGTGTAACAAAATTCTTTAACCAGTCCTACCCCACTACCTTAATTAATTTATACCCAGCAAAATTAATTATGTACAGACAGAAAAAATTAAAGAACCAGACAGAGACCATACAGATAAACAATAGGGAAGGGACCATAATGACAAAACAATGAAGAAATGAGGCTTTCACAACCGCAACTGGTGATAAGTGATTTTTTGACAGACAGACGCTATCAAACTAAGTTTTCTTAAAGAACCAGATCTTAAAATGGTTAATCTGGTGATAGTGGGGGCCATTAGGACGGGGGTCTCCTTCTTAACAGCCGGATATGACATTGTTTTAATGTAATTTAGATGGAATGTGAGGATATGACTTCCTGCTTCTCAGTTAATGGCCGCTGCTCTTTCAATCTGGCTGCAGACGAAGGCTTTAGGCTTTAGGCCTTACAATCTGGCTGCAGACAAAGGCCTTATCGTTACACCCAGAGGGGAAGAGGTGCAGACGGTGTAACAAGGGGCAGGTGTGGAGGCGGGAGAGGTGAAGACTTAGCCCGGGACATTTGAGCAATCAGCATAGAGCACTTATATGGCTCCATCCCCAGGTTTCCGAGTGCTTCACAATCCCCAGTGTAGTTAACCTCCCAGCACCCCTGGGAGGTAGGGCTATATACACACGACATAGATAGGGGAACTGAGGCAGAGGCTACATGACTTGCCCAAGGTCACACAATAGAGCAGTGGCAGAGTTGGGACTAGCTCCAACGTCTCCTGACACTGTACTGACTTGTACTAGCTCAGGATCACACATATTGACTGTAGCCCTGGTGGTGCTGGGACAATCTCCTGCTGAGGGTCTGTGCTCCGCTGCACGTCGGCTTAGTGGGTGATCCTCTCTGCTGATAAGAACTCCTGCTCTCCAGCCAGCCCCGCGTTCCCACTCCCACCCTTTAAAAAGCATTCCCCCTTTCCACAAGGTGTCTGCATGTCTAATCTCTTAGCCCCTGGCATTGGCCTGCTAAACCCAGGGTTGTGAGTTCAATCCTTGAGGGGGCCATTTAGAGATCTGGGGTAAAAAATTGTCTGGGGATTGGTCCTTCTTTGAGTAGGGGGTTGCACTAGATGACCTCCTGAGGTCCCTTCCAACCCTGATATTCTATGATTCTATGCACAGGCCTCTCCCTCATTGGCTTACACTGATGCAAAATTTGCATAACCATGGCAATATCTGGAGACCCCATCTATGGTCAGGAGTCCATTATGTGCACAGCGTCTGTTAGGTAAAAAAGC